TGAGCAGGGGTTGGAGAATCACCTTATTTGTGGGTGGCTCCAACCAATAGGTTTGCAGCCTGGATGGAACAAAAAAAAGAAAGAAGGAAGTATTTCTGTTTTGAGGAACTTCAGGCTTCTTGTGTGTATGTGTCCTTAGCTACTATTGCCTTTGAGTAGGCAGCCTCCATGTCTCCAGTTTCATCACCCTCCCAGTGCAGACTTGCACCTGCAACTCTCTAGTGAGCTTCCAGGACTCCCTTTGACCTTGCACTGGTTCTGTAGCCTTGACCTCTCTTCTCCTGTGCCTTCCATCTTCTTGGACTGAGCAGCTACTTGGCCCACTAGCTCTCCTGTGTGCACATGGCCTTTGTCAATTAGTCCACATCTGATTTTGTAAGCCCACCTAATTAACAATCACAAGTCTTGTATTGATTCGATTCCACTAAATAAAATGCATTCCTTAATTTTATGAAGCAGTATTTATGTGGTCTAGAATTGTAATCCAAGTCTTGTAAATTATGATCAATAACTCCATCTTATCATCTACTTGATTTATGACCTATTTTTATTGTGTTTTTATCCTTGATTTAGTTTCTTATCAGGCCTGATATTTTTTGATTGAGTATTAGAAATTGCATAAAAATTATAGCAGCTTTGCATGGAAATATCTTCTTCAGATTGAGTCCATATATCTTCTAGTAGGCTGCTTTTTCAGGAGACACATATATTTATGTATTCAGAAACTAAGCTAGTTGCAGCCTACTTATGATTCTATAAGGCTCATTTTAGTATTGATCTCTTTTCTCCTTAATGTAGCACTAAGAATCCTTCCTATTGTTGGGTAGTAAGACATACTTTAGTCTCCCCATGCCCATGTGTCAAATAAAACTATTTTGTTTGAGATGATGTTCTTCCTACCTTCTAAACTACTTGCCCACAAAGGTGAACTAAGTGTGTGTCTTAAATATAACATCACTCAGTGCAAGGAACACCTCTTTGTATCTGCTTCCTTTCCATGATACCAGCTTCTCCTGCCCTTGCTGTGTATGCAATACTTAACTTTAAGGATTAATTATTCTAGTTCTGTGAGATAGTTATGCAATCTGACAATGCAATTGGTTTGGAAAAGAATACTGCCAATTCAGTGAACTTATCCCAGATAATGATCCAGACCTGGAAGTAAGATTATCTGCAGGTGGATAGAAGAAGTAATACCATTTATCTTCAGTATTTACTACAGTTTTGCTTTATAAATTTGATTATAAGTTATTTAGAATGCAAACTTTAAATCTGTAGGCTATTTTATGATCCAGATATTTTTTATAAATGAAATCACATATTTTTCCTTTTGATATTTTCTTTTAGCTCAATTTGTTTTTAATTCTATTTTTAATATACTTTTGTACATTTTGTTTAATAAATATATGAATTTTTGGCCATTTTTATTTAAGTATTTTTACTGTAAGCATGCATTTAACTATCATTTTAAATAAATACGTGACCTACCACCTTGGAGTTTATAAATCTTTTATGCTTACTTAGATAATCAGACTTTTTTAACCAACTGTTTTGGACTTTTTTCTGAAAAAGAGTAGTGTAACATGAAGAGCTAGCAATAAATCCCTTCAAGGTAAACTGAAAGAGGAAATGCTTGTAGCATGGTTGTAGGTCAGTTTCTTGTTGAGAGAACTGGAAAGATTGATTTAAAGGACATACTTTCAAGACAAGCCCCAGTCCTATAAAATACTGGTATTTAGCCCTAATGAAACTTTTTAACATTTGGAATTGTGAGTATAAATATTAAGGACAGGCCAAACTGGCTTAAAGGATGTAAGTAGGAATAGTCCTATTAACAATTTAAGTTAAAAGAAATCCATGAGTTCTGGTAAGTCAAAAATTTTACAGTATATATGTAACTTAAACTGATTTTCAAAGGAAAGAAAAGTTGTTATAAATATAAAGAATGGACAGTACAATCTTTGTGTAAGAATTATAATGAACCTCCATTTATGTAAAAAGGGTCAACATGAATAGACTGATAGAGGCATGGTGAGAGTGAACTACTGTTGACCAGGCTTTCTAGTAAATACTAGACAAAAGATATATACATGCAAATTATGACCCAATAAGTTTTTTTCCAGCTCTATAGAAAAAAGTAGATACAGATTATGTTCTAATAAAAATGTTCTTCAGTTCTATAGGAAGGGGTGTCATTTTTACCTGTGGTCAGTGAGCTCTATGAGGGTAAATATCATTTCAATCATCTTGACCAATATCAATGTATACTTTCCCTCACTCGACCAGAGTCCAGGAAAAGTACGTATTTAATATATATGTGTGGAAAGAAAGAAGACAAAAGGAAGAATCTAAGATTTTTTTTTTAATTTGGGCTAACCAATATCCTGTCATTCACAAGATGCTAAATTGCACAGTAAATGTGTGAAGAAAAACAAAAAAAAAAGTAAAACTAATGGATAGTGAAGGGATTTCTATGATATAAACTAGAAAATCATGTCTTGCAGAATTTAAACGTGATTATGCTTGAATTCTAAATCTATTCCATTAGGATTAGAGCCAGCATTATTAATAGAATGAAAGGAACATTAAAACAATTATATTTTTCCTTTATCATATACTTCAGTGTACTCCACCCACATACCAACAAAATAATTTATATTACTAATCAGGTATTAGTAAAGATTACTGAAGATCATTGTAACATTTTCAAAATCATTTGAAATTTGCTTTTCCTTAGCAGAAAATTCTCAATATACTTATTGATAACATGTTTTAAGAAACAAATGTTAAAATATAGAGTAAACCACAGAATTAATAAATACAAAATACATTAATGTATGCAAAAGCACTTTATAAATTAAACTACCCACTAAATTAAAGCAAATAAACTAAATGAATGAAGTAGAATAATCAATCATATGATGAGTTATCAATAGTTTTTAAATTTAACTAGATTTCTTAAAACTAAATTGATTTCACAAATTCTGTTTACTGTTTCTAAAAGTGTATGTAGTCATTTACAATCAGAGAAAAAAGTAAGATAAAAATCTGCACCAATTTATCAGTGAGAGAAAGAGTATAGAGTAAATACTGCCCTCTATTCAGAGAGGTCTGTGTTTCACAGGGCAGGAACTTGTTTGAGGCTGTGGGATTGGGGTGGCCAAAAGGTGGTTACCTAGCAACAATCCCTCCGCACAAGTCTCATGCTTCAAGAGTCAGATACATGCGTCAGCAAATTGGTTTCTAGTTTACAGGATCAAAAAAGAATAATAGAACATAATGGTAGGGCATGATTCTCAATCATAAGAAACTTATAGGATCTTCTGTGCATGGGGCCCACTTCTCCTCTGGGGATGCTAGGAGCTTGTCTACATAAGTGGATAACAGCTAAAGAGAGGTTCATCAAACAAAAGTGAGGGAAACTGCAGATATTTTAATTTAATAACATTTATTTTTAGTTTATTTACAAAGCAAGTAATGAAATAGTTACTATAGTAGCATTAGCTCCAGGCAAAAGGTAATCTTATCACAGTGTGTCTTCAGAAATGAGACAGCTAAGAATAGTTTGGAGTTTTGGTAAAAATAATAATCAACTTAAATATTCATGACAGGTTTGAGACAGCATTTTACCATCTGAAGATACAATTAATGAGATTGCAACATATATAACATATATAAAATAAACTGTGTTTATAGCAAATAAGCCTAACCATATGTTAGCCATGACTTAACAAGAAAACATATATTCATGAAGCACACACACACATATTTTGTCTTCCTCAAATATGTGTCATACATAAATTACACAGTGCATTTCATTGAATGAATGCTTACTTCTTGGGACGAAGCCCACCAGGTGCATGCATAACTGAGCAAGCAGGTGATCAGAATGAGGTAGAATGACAAGGACACTATCACAAACTCTGCCAGTGGAAAAATTACATGCATCAAATTAGTTTGTGTGTTTTCATAGCACAAAGATGTAAGGTATAAAAAAATCTGTTAGAAGAATGTTAAAATGCCAAGTGTGGGGGAGCAAGCAGAAAGGGAAAGAAGAGACTTTGGTTTATAAAATTTTCCATGATGCAAAGGACTGAAGCCAATTTCTCCCCAGACACAGTACTGACGTCCAGGTCGACTGCTTGCCAATGTGCAGGAACCTGCCACTTGTACAGTAGCTTTTTGAGACTTCCCCAGCGTCCCCTCCTCCCTCATCCTAGCGCACACTGAATGTCACTTCCTCATTGAATACGAGCAATGAAGTTCTTTGTGGAGCAGTAAGTGCCAGTTGGAGTCACAGCCTGAGTTCTCTTCTTTATACATTTCTAAATATTTTTAAAAGGCATACTCTTTGATCATCACTCCAGAGAATTTCACTCAAAAAATGGTTTCCTTTACAACAGCCAATAATAAACAATACTATTTTAGATTCTGGCCTCATTCTTGTAATTGCTTTTCACAGACTTTTTAGAAGTCAGGACCTTGAATCGTATGTATCATTCCAGAACCAGTCTCTCTGCTCTGAACACAGAAGGGATTCTGCCCTTCTGTTCTTAAGTACTTAGCTAGTCAAATGTCAGATATTAAATGGTAGAGACCAGGATGAACAACCCCATCAGCAAAATGTTTAGACTAATAATTTACTAGAATGCAAATAATTATAGTAGGAAAATGGTTATCTCATTTCAAATACATTAATTTGCAGTGGGTTTTCCATAACTATTATAAGCATAATATACTTAAAATATATTAAAAAATAATTTAGGGAACAAAAATACATTTTTGCATTTTACAATGGGTCATTTGATGCAAAATTTTCTTATTTCTTTTAAATTCGCCCTGTAAATTATATTATTCATGCATTTTTCCTCATCTAGATGATCAGGGGACTTTTGTACTGGGAACTGAGAACGCTCGATTTCAGGGTGCATCTCCGTGTCTCTGAGCCCTCAAAGGAGAGCGAAGCTAATATCTAGTAGTCCAACAGTTAAAATAATTGATGAGTCTGTCCTGAATCCTCCAGAGAGGAGGGAGGAAACAAGGAGGGCGAGAAGGAGAGGCTTAATGGGGTGTGGGGGTGCTGATTTCAGCCCTGTAGCGTCAGGATTGCGTCAATTCGTGTTGCAGCCCCGTCTGGAGTCTCAGAGACCAGCGTTTCAGAAGAGCCAAAACAGGAACAGCGGTGGCAAATCACTGTGCGAGGGCGAGGGCGAGCGGACCTCCCTCTTTGCCTCCTCCCTGTTCCAGGCGCAGGTCCCCTGGGCTTGGCGCTGTTGTTTTCAGCACTCCGGAAAGCCGGCGCTTCAGATCCAGGCAAGTGAATCAAACCAGGGAGTTTTCCGTTCAGAACCTCGGACAGAGCACGCAGCAAAAAATGGCTCCGATCTCTACCAACCGGGAAGATTTTGGTAAGCAAGTTACCTAACTTATGGCTGCAGTTGTTCCTTGAATACTCCAAGGTGAACTGTGTTTTTCTCCCTTATCGGATGCTGGATATAGATTTAAGGTAGTTAATTTGAAAGAGAAGTGAGAACAGTAAACGGTTAATCATGGCTTAGTTCTGTGTTCTCTCCCTTTCTTGGTATCTTTCTTTCTAAACTGCCTTCTCTTAGGGCGATTTTTACCTTCCGGAAGTTTCTAAACGTTCAGGTAGCCCTGTAAATTGCAGCATGCGCTTAGTTAAGGAAAAAGTGTCTGTTGTTCGTATGCTGGTTTCATGAATTCTGTAGGTGACTCTTATTTGTAGAAAATCTGTATTTTCTTAGGAGCCAAATACATCTGTGGTTACATAAGAGTTTAATCTGGCATGAGACAACTTGGATATTGAGGGTTTGAGACATATGCTTTATTGCAGAATGTACGGCGTATTTCATTTCTGGTGAAATAACAGAAGCCCAGATTAATGAAGGTAGTGTTGCCAGATACACAGTTAGCTAAAAGCTGCTGGAAACTTGAACTAGGGCTTCTGTTTCCCAGTTTAGATCTCCTTTTCTTATACCTAATGTTTGGCTTCAGAGATCTCTTCCTGTACTTCAATAATGAAGATTAGATGTACTTTGTAAATAAGTAGTATTTTAGATCCAATTATATGTCGAAGGCCAGACATCACAAATATCTTTTTAAAATAGGTTATTTTTAAAAAGTTATATATAGATGGAAATAATTATTATTAAAGTGAATACAATCATTGTGATCTTTGCTCTCAAAAGCTTAAGCCCTTCTTGATAGAGAATACAGTGGTAGAAGTTCAATCCGTGATATCTTGAATGTTTTGTCATTTGATGTAGGTATTAAATAGAAAGAGTTTGTGATATTATGTTCATAAGTGTGTTGTTTTTGCAGCCTTTCATTTAGGTGATTGGGTTGATTTTTGTGATATTTCTCTCCAACTCATGAATTGAAATCAGAAAATAAGATACTTAAGGATATCCAGACTCCAGAAAAGTGAAAATATGGTCTAGCATGGGCTATCAGCCTACTTAGAAAGGGATAATTTTCAATTGCTTTTATTGTTCTTCTTACATTTCCTGCAAAATTGCCTCTGCTTCTTAATGCATGTGCTTCCTGACTGTGCATTATCAGAGTCCAGAAGTGAGGGCATATCTATTTTCCAATGAAGATTGAAATTGAAGGGAAAACTCAAAAGCTAATGCTAAGTTTAACTGGTCATACTTAGCTGTTATTTCTTCTTCCTGTAGCACTAATTCAGTGTATTTGTCTATTTGGAGAATTCCTGGTTTATTTTATTCTTAGAATTTTCAGTTAATTGCTAATATTAAACTACAGAATTTTCATTGTTATTTTGTTTTTGCTTTTGATCTCATTTATATATTTATTCATTTTTTATTAATTTAATTCTGTATTCTTTGAGTTCAGTTTTTGTGATTATGAAGTAGGTAGGCAAAATATTTTGGGGGTTGAGAAGTGGGTATAACAAAAGATTGGTCTTCTTGTAGTTAATGTTTAACCCTTTCCTGACTGTGACTTTTAACATTATTATTCACTATTTAAAGTAAAATGAATTGAAATAGAATGAAACATAGGTAATATTACATTAGTTGTATTTACTTTATGTTAAATGTTACTCAATTGATGTACTTTGTCCAGATGAAGAAATGTTGCTTTTACTTACACAATTTGCTTGAGAAATCTGCTTACACTTCAAATATGATAAACTTAATGTACAATCAATATCACCTGATGTCAGCGATTTAATGTGTCCTCACTCCAGAAAATAACGCCAATTTCAATTTAATTATTATTTGCCATGTGGAAATATGCTAGGGGAAAATCAGTTATGGATAAAAATGAACTCTAAATTACCAAGATTCATTCTTCTTACTACATGGTAAGGAATGATGATTTACTTACAATCATTGTTCTGCTTTTATTCTATTTAAATTAAATGATATTTTGCATAATTCAACTGTCTGAGAAATGTTGGGTTTATACACAAATATATTGTAATGTTATAAGTTATTTAATATCAGTATACTGTTGGATTTATTTTTTGTTCTTTTTTCCCCAAATATATGTACATTTCTTTTATAACTGTTCCATAATTGTGATGGAAATTTTTAATGAGTTTGTGACAATGGGAGATGATAGTCCTTCCTTTTTAAAATTCTGTGAACCAATGAGCCCTTATATGTTTTCTGCTTCAAACTTGAGTAAACAAAAAGGTATAAACATTCCAAAATTTCTCAGTATTTGAAGAATATGCATTTAGTGTTCCATATTCAGTAAGAAGTGATGTTTTCCAAACTGTCAACACATCAATAAAAAAAATAATAAAATTAGCTTCAATCTATCATGTTATAGTTGACTCATATTACATGAAAAAACAAAAAGAAATCAAGGTTATTAAGCATCCTACTATGTCAGATGGAGACCCAGTTTAATCTTTTCATTTTATTTATGAAAAGCTACTGAAATAAAGGAGTTTCTATCACAGTGTATTTTTTCCTATTTGTATGGATACTTGAAGTTAATGTGAAATGTGCACATAACTTATGTCCAGAACTGCTGGAAAGTAATTCAATCTGTCCAACCTGCAATAATTACTAGCTCTATTATACTTTTCCAGGCGCATATCGCCACTCTGCTCCTTTAATGTATTTTACTGGTCACTTGATTTTTCAGATGAAATCCCTATGGTGGTGGGGATCTTCAGTGCATTTGGCCTCGTCTTCACAGTCTCTCTCTTTGCATGGATTTGCTGTCAGAGAAAATCATCCAAGTCTAACAAGACTCCTCCATACAAATTTGTGCACGTGCTAAAAGGAGTTGATATTTATCCTGAAAACCTAAATAGCAAAAAGAAGTTTGGAGGAGATGACAAACATGAAATAAAGAATAAGCCTGCTGTGCCAAAGAATTCATTGCATCTTGATCTAGAGAAGAGAGATCTCAATGGCAACTTTCCCAAAACAAACCTCAAAGCTGGCAGCAATTCTGAGCTGGAGAACGGGACCCCAAAGCTCTTTTCGGAAGGAGAAAAAGAGGCAATTTCTCCTGACAGCTTAAAGTCTAGCACTTCCCTTACTTTGGAAGAGAAACAAGAGAAGCTCGGTACCCTCTATTTCTCCTTAGAGTACAACTTTGAGAAGAAGGCTTTTGTAGTGAACATCAAGGAGGCCTGTGGTCTGCCAGCCATGGATGAACAGTCTATGACCTCTGACCCTTACATCAAAATGACGATCCTCCCAGAGAAGAAGCATAAAGTGAAAACCAGAGTGCTAAGAAAGACCTTGGATCCAGCGTTTGATGAGACCTTCACATTCTATGGAATCCCCTACACCCAGATCCAAGAGTTGGCCTTGCATTTCACTATATTGAGCTTTGACAGGTTTTCAAGAGATGATATCATTGGAGAAGTCCTTATTCCTCTTTCAGGAATCGAATTGTCTGATGGAAAAATGTTAATGAACAGAGAGATCATCAAGAGAAATGTTAGGGTAATTGTTTTTGAGTGTTTAAATTATTTATAAACAATCTTTAATGTAGGTATTTAACATAGGTCTAGAGAGGTTCTATTGAAATAATTATTTTTTTTGAGCATTTGGAAGTTGTGTTGCCTTTTATGTAACTTTTTCTAGGAGGTTACATCACATCATATTAAATTATAAATGCTCCCTTCTATGTTATATAAGAGAAAGTGAGTTATTCTTTTTTGTATTTATACTACTTGGTAGTCTTGGATTAATAGAAAATTATAAAACTTATTAAAAACATTTAATCCTATTTCCACTTTAATACAGAACCTACTTGATTTTATACTGGTATTTCAGAATAATTTGTGTTTAAATTGCATAGTTCAATGAACACAGTGAACATAATAATTTATGTTCCTTTAAAAAATCATAATCTTTTAAAGTTGAAGAAAACTTTAGACCTTATGTTGACCATCTTCTTTCATTTTAAGTGTTGAAATTAATGTAAGTTAAATTGCAGAAACATTATGTAGCTACTTTGAGATAGCCAGATGTTTAGTGGGATTCAATAGCTATCTCCTATTTTTCTTCCCCTTAGGGTAATAATTCATATAGATAGTCTGTGTCAGCTTTTGTATATACTGCGGTTTTAAGAGTCTGCCCAAGTCATCATTTTTAGTTCTAAGCTCTAACTTAAGCTACTTTCAAATAAGTTTTATATTTTGAGCTCACGTTCATCTTACTTAATGTCTTTAAGTACAAATTAAATATATATATCTATATATATAGATATATATATATCATGCAAAGAAGGGCTTATGATACTGTCCAAAATCAATATTTTAAAAATTTTGAGTTCTGTCCAGAATTTAAACTCAATTTGTTCCTTGGATTAGATACATGAAGGTAAGGAAGAGAAAAAGAACTTTTATTTTATTATACCTTTGAGCCAAGAGGTCAGATTAAATCTACTTTTGCCTGAATTCAAATTCTGCTATTGTCAGTGCTAAAGAATTTGAAATCAAATGAAACTTAAAATGAGTCATTTGATCTTATACAAACCCAGTTAAAATATTACGCTTCTATTATTTATAATTTCGAAGAATATAGGAGTCATCAAAAAGCGAAAAATACCCTTTGTGTGGAATATAATATAAAATCCTCTTAAAACATTGGTAAGTAATGGGTGTGGCCAATTCACTTTAAATTTTAAATACCGCAGTACCTAAAAACACCACAAGATGGCAAGACGTGGTTTTAGGCATGATAGCACAGCAAAATAGCTTTCAGTTACTTAGATTACTTACCACATAAAAATACAAGGAACATCATATTTAAATAGCAACAATATTGTATTATTATAAAACTTTTGATGAAAGAACAAACTTCAAAACTAAAAAAATAATAAAACTAATTATACTGCATTTCTCTTTGTTTAGAAGTCTTCTGGACGGGGCGAGTTGTTGATTTCTCTCTGCTATCAGTCTACTACAAATACTCTCACTGTGGTTGTCCTGAAAGCTCGACATCTGCCTAAATCTGACGTGTCTGGACTTTCAGGTAAGAATGCTTTTGAAATACTTACATACAGTATTTAGCTTGTTAGTGTATTGAACAAATAGTTAACACCTAACCTTGACTCTGGTTTTGTTTTATTTTTATGTTCAATCACAAGTCATGTGATTATTTATCTTTCACTTTCAAAATAATAATTTCATCCAGTGCTATCAGCACTAAGGAAGAATCTACTGAGTTCTCAGATCTAGGGACAAAGCTTGTGAAAGTTATATATCTGATTGCATACCTGAAAGACCACTGGCAAAAGTACACAGAAGAAAATAAAGTCTCAGAAGATTTTTAAAACTTTAGTATTTTTAAAAATTCCACTTACCACATACTCTTTGATTATTTTTGTTATTTTTCCTCTAATATTTCATGTAAATATTTTAACAATTCGTTTTCAACTTTTTCACTAATTTCACAGAAAACATCAAAACCTTGTTGCATGGTAAAGTGAGAAAGAACATGATTTATGGGTTCTAAATTGAAATCCTAAGTCTTCTATTTCACAACATAGTATCTTTCATCATATTTTTTAAAGTCTATATAAATTGTACATGATAATACTTACCTTGAGGGTCATTATGAAAAATAGAAATACATGCTTCATTTGAAAATCATCTATTGGTATCATTATTATTTGTTGATGAAAACATTTGCTGCAATGAAAAAATGCTAAGTCAAATAATTAAATATGTGACAATATACCATGAACATAAAATTTACACACTAACAATGACACAGAGAAAGTCAATACTGACAAATAGAAAGCTAATCAATCATTTGACTGAAGAACCACAGCAAAGTTAAGCCTAAAGATTTTACTTGTGGATTCCAAATCTCCATTCAATAGAAGAAAAAAAAAGCAGCCAATTTTGAGACATAGACTTACCCCAAATCATGCAATTCTATCTAATTTTATGGAAGGAATTATTGGTAACTAGAATATATTCACGCAATATTCTATTCTTCCCATTTTTATTATCTCTTTTTTCTGCCATTGTACTATCTCCTTTAGCCTCTAGTTTAGAACAGCTTTCTCTTCGATTGTCTATTCTTTTTTATGTTTACTTGTGTTAATAAGGTAAAAGCCAAATTGTATCCATACTTATCATTTGTTCTCTCTCATTTCCACTGTAATCACCTTGCATTGGCATGCCATAATCTGTGAGGGCATAGTGATATTGCGAACACCTCTGTAACTCAGCCTTGTTGTCGTAACAATTCTTACATACCATTGCAGATCCCTATGTCAAAGTGAACCTGTACCATGCCAAAAAGAGAATCTCCAAAAAGAAGACTCATGTGAAGAAGTGCACCCCCAATGCAGTATTTAATGAACTATTTGTCTTTGATATTCCTTGTGAGGGGCTTGAAGATATAAGTGTTGAATTTCTGGTTTTGGATTCCGAAAGGGGGTCCCGAAATGAGATAATTGGGCGGTTGATCCTGGGTGCATCAGCAGAAGGAACCGGTGGGGAACACTGGAAGGAGATTTGCGACTTCCCCAGGAGACAGATTGCCAAGTGGCATATGCTCTGTGATGGTTAGCAGCCTAGCCATGAGTTGGAACTTGAGGATTTTTACTAGGCAAGGAGGATTTTTCTTTCTTACATGTGATTGTAAGCTTGTGACATACAAGCTGCTCTTTTTTGTTTGTTTAGAAATGGATTGACATTGTAGACCAGAAAGTAACTATAAATGTGTATCGTGATGATTTCCCCCTTTATTAGAGAAGTTGGATAAATTTTCATAAGATATTCAATTTCCACTACAGATTACCAATGATATAAACAGGTATAGGTTAACTTTTTATGAACACTGTACCATAATCCAAAGACCTGGTAATACTTCAGAAATGAGTATGTCACTGGAAGTCTGAGGGATTAAGATTTAAAAGATCATAAACATGCCTTTTCTTATGAAAATTAATCAATTTTTCTTCAAGTTGGGGAAATAGTTTTCTTTAAATCCAAAGATACTAAAGAAATGTTCTCTAGTTTGTTTTTATTAATGATGTCATGTGCAAACAATTGTCCTGCATATAAAAATATTTGGTCATTTTTCTTTAGTCTGTAATTATTTAATACAATTTCATCATTAGAGAAGAAACTTATTATTCCTTTCAAAATGACAGTGAATAGGATGAGAAATCATTTTCTCAAAGGGCTGAGTTGAGAACACTGTGGCTGAAATTTGATCCCCCCCCAAGGTTACATGTGAGTCAAAATGTAAAATATAACCTCACATAAAACCCATGGCCTTGTATTATTCACTGCCTATCACAAGTCTCAGCGTGGCCTAAGAAATTCTTGTTTACTTTTGTGAAGTTGTCAAATTAGCTAGTCGATAAAGAAATAAATTTCAGCTAGAAATTCATTTAGAAACACTGTTTTCTTGTAGGAAATATGTACAGTGTGCAAGTATAATTTTAAGGCCATCCTTTGTACCTAGAGTGGGCATGGCCATGTAAGTTTTTGTTTAATTTACTCTCCTGGAGAAAAGACTAAGCTGTTTGAAAAAGAAAAAAAAGAAGCAGTAATGAAAGAAAAACCCATTATGTGTTAAACATTGCCATATTGAAACCAACAAAGACTAAAAATTAAAGAGTAAGCCTAACATAATTTCCATATGTTCACAACATATACCAGTACTTAAGGCTGTGAAATTAGCACAAGAAAGTGTGGTTTTCACTATCTTTTCTACACTAACTTGTCTTGTGCTGTTGTGTATAAGACAGTTAAGACTTGTATGTTGTACTGTTTTCCAGTGCCAAGGATCATTCAAAACCTATTAGAGGGAAGCAGTACCCTGTGATTATTTGGAAAGTATTAATTAAAGATGATGTCACTATATTTGTGTTTTTAGAGAAGTATGAGTAAAACTCGGGTACAGCTGAATTATTAAATATGCAAGAATAAAGTCTACTGAAAAATTTACATTTCAAGTCAGGTTTTGTGTCAGTACTTTAACAGTTTTTGAGAATGTGTTTGATATCACAGTGTTTGTAAATTCTATGAAAATGCATTTTCCTAACAACTTATACATGCTTTTTATGACTATGCCTAGTGTAAAGAAAATGTATTACATTCTATGTGTACAAAGATTGAAAATCAACTTCTTTTTGTGCTTTTTGATGACTTTGGGATTAAAAAATGAATATTCCCCAGTTATGGTCTTCATTCCACTTCAAAGTCATCTCACAGCATCTTGATTTGCTCAGCACTTCTGTGAAAACAACATAAATGGACTGTAGTTCAGTGGACTTTGGAGAAGTCAAATGGCCTTTCTAGCTATGTATGCTTGGGATCATAGGCCATAGAAATAATATATTTTGGGCCTCTGTAAAGTTATGAGGTGTCAGTTGTAAGAACCCTACATAACAGCCAGAGGTTAATGGTGGTACCAGGTGTGTCATGTTTATCAGAAGGGGGTGATTTTGTTTTTTAAACTGGAACAACAAAACCAACAACACATACTTTTAAAATTACAATGAGTAATTTGTAAATAGTTTTTAGTTTTAATATTTCAAGTGTTTTGAATGTGAAAAGTGAAGTAAAACTGTTTGAAATTGGTTTTAAGAAAAGAGAGGAGAAAAGCAAGAAAGTTATTAGAACAGGCAGGGAGATTCGCAATCTTGTCATTTCTGAAAATTGTACTGTTTTATAATCTATTACAATATCAGTGTGAATATCTTGAATTCTGTTACAAATCCTGCACTGTATTGACATGTAGATTAACCGTTTGTTTGATTAGCCAATCTGACCACCCTAATGGGGAGGTTTCCATGTTGAAGAACTGTGTAACTCAGTAACTGACTTGTTCTGTTGTTATAGCTCAATAGAAGTGACTTGGAAGAAAGCATGGTGTAAATGATGGTGTCTGTTCTTTTGTGCCAGCTCTGTATGATGTTTGTAAGACCATGTTTGTAAGACATGAATAAATTGCTGCTTTTGCCCAACCCATTTCAACTCAGAATTCTTGCCAATGGACTCTGAAATAAGCCTTCTCTTATGGCTCTCGGAATATTCAAGTTTTCCCAATAGATCACCTGATGGCGATTAACTAATGTAAAGACTAAGCATTTTTTCTAATTTTTGTCACCTCAATTCACAGCACAACACAGAATATAGGTAATATTCCTAAAATTTACTGGTGGAAAAGAGAAATCTTGCAATGGTATTTATTTAAAACCACACAGGGTCAATGATGGAATGGGCCTAGGGCTACCTGAATCTCAGGTCTCTGCTTTCTATATAGCATGGTATAGTCCTGTTCTAAGATAGTTTTATAGCATATATTTTTCTTCTTTAACCTTATATTTTTATGATAATCTCAGATATTCAGCAAATACTGACAATGCTAAAAAGTATTTCCCTCGTTTGTAGTTGCGTTTGTTTATTTAATTCAAGATATTTAAAAAGTAAGTGATAGAACCAGGAACTGAATGCATATGGGTTTTCCACTAAAAGCTTTTAAGAACCATCATCTATTTCACTAAGCACTCATATTTGGAAATTTTATGAAGCAATGACAGCTCAGTGTCATACTGAATATCAGTACCAACTCAGTGGTCATGACTATGTCAACTATTGTTTTGAGATAGATTATGTGTCTAAATCACAGCATAATAGAAAACCAATGGTTTCTATTATCTAAGAACTGGGAAGGTTTTCCTAGATTAACAGGAACATTTCTATTTATTTTCTAGTACATAAAATTATATAGATCTTTAAGTTGGTGAAATAAGGATTGATTAAATCATTTTATTAAACCATAATTTCTCTTATTTAAAATGATACTCTCATGTTGCCTATACCTTCATGGATAAATGTATGAGCAGCACATTTAGACTCTTTTGATACAAATCTTGGCTTGAGCATCTACTAGCTGTGTAATCACTGTTATTTTTAAACATTTTGTGTTTCTCATTGTCTTCCTCTTTAGAAAAGGACTGATAATAATTTCACCATAGCAAAATGTCCTAATTGCACAGAGGGATGGGACTGAAAGTCATTAGTTCTTTATAGAGATTGGTTTTCAGAAAATGTGTATTGAATTTCTTTGGGTCTAAAGAAACAAAAAAAATCTAGTAAATTAAACTGTGAGGCTTTTAAAATGAGTATTGATATTTGTTCCTACTCCAACTTCTTCTAAAAGCTTACAGCTATATTTCACATCACACTGTATATGCATTTTAATGTTTAAACCTCACCAGAAAATCTATGAGGCAGGTAGGAAGATATTTGTTTTTATCATTTTGGAGTTAGGTAATTTATCGGAGGTTAGCATTTGCATTTTGGAGACAGTTGGGAAATGGAAAAAGAAAGGGTGAAGTTAAGGGAAGTAAGCATTTCAGAAAAAGTTTAGGTTTAAGTTACAACAGAGTACATAGAAAATACATAGAAAAGAGAAAAATAAACATAATGAATTAGGACACCTGCAAACCATTAATGATGCTATAGCATGAATGATCCAGGGGTTTAAGGAGCAAGTAAATACTGTTTCTTTTATGAGAAATGCTTTATTTTTGAATCATTGAAATCCATTTCTTGGTTAACCTACTTTATTGTTTTATTGATGTCTTTCTTTCTTATTCATGCATATTAATAGATATATGCAGTATTCTAGATGCTTTGTTACAACCAAAAATCGAACATTCTAAAGCAAAATTTCAATGTATTTCAAAAAACTGTGAAAATGATATACTAAGTCAAATGTTAGTGCAGTGTTTGTGAAGATGTATGTCACTAAGTATCATTTCTACAATAATTTTATTCAAATAATTATAATGAAAGTACACAGAAAACAACATAAAGAACAAAATGACAATGTAAAAAAAACAAATATATGCTTGCACTCTGAAAAATGTAAAACAATAGATGTTGTAGTTTGCTAGGGCTTTCAAAACACGTCATGGCCTGAGTGGGTAAAACAAGGTACATTTTTTCCCCAATTCTAGGGGCTAGGATACTGAGATCAAGGTGTCACTGGGGTTGATTTATTCTATGATTTCTTACCTTGGCTTGCAGATGATCTCTAGATATTCTCTTCTTTGTATATACTTGTGTCCTAATCTCCTCTTTTAATACAGACATTAGCCACTTTACATTCAGCACAACTATTTGGCCTCATTGTCTAGCAATTATCTTTTAAAAATCCTTACCTCCCAATACCATCACATTCTTAGATACTGGGGTCAGGAGTTAAATAGATAGATTTTGGTGGGATACAATTCATCCACTGGCAGATAAAGTTATTTCCCTAAATACATGCTAAAATGCTGGTGTATACAGAATGTTATATAAAACTTTTAAACACTACTTTTTAGAACTTCTGGGAACATTGGCATCAAGACTTTTCTTGTTCTGCCTGTTCCCACTCTTGATGTATAGGGAAAACAGAGAATGTTTCCTACAATCCAACCACATGGACAGTCAAACTTGCTAAAAGCAAGATGGTATATACACTGTAATCTCATTATAAAAAGCATATTTTTGATAGGTTTCATATACATCTATGTGCATATAACTATATATAACTATTATTGAAATTATTCCTAATATCAATGATAGGTTTATTGAAATAGAAAAAGAAACAGATATTACACTGATTGGCTTTTTCATTACTATTAGGAACAAAAACTAGTCTTTTCATGAATTAAAAATAAAAATAAATCAGATATAAAATATTACAAAATATTTTTCACAATTTTATCATGTTAACTGTCATAGAAATATATGCATTGCAAGGAATACAAAGAGGCAGTATGACTCAGTGCCACACTGAGATAGACCTGGCAGTTAGCATATCATGGCCCCAGTCTAAAATATCCTATAAGCATAGACAAGTCCGTATCATTCTACTATTTGAGGCTCTATGATTCTGAGTAAGATAGCTTAGATAACAAAATCCTATTTTGGCATCAAGTAGCAATTAATTCAATATGGTCAATTCAATTTTTTCCCATCTTCATGAACAGTCTGGAAAAAAGAAAAAAGCATTTCAAATAACAATATTGAAGCTAAGATCTATATTTGGTTAATATAGATCTTTTTCTCTTTCAAGATTTGTTCTTCCTCAACTTCATAATCACCCTCACACAGCAGATGAATACTAAAAGAGTCAAGTGCCTTATTATATGACTGAGACATCTTTCACCAGGTTCCCTCAGTCACTTGTTTAGACTGGTGCTGTTCTTTCCTAAGGGCAAAAGAGACTACTTTGCTTGTACAGGGTGTGGCTTTTAAAACACTAATTGTTTTTAAAAAGTCCATTCCATTCAATAAGTGTCCATATGGAATGGTTTCAGATTTTACTGTGCATTCTTTAGTATTTAAGGTAATTCCTTCTTCAAAATGGCTGCTTTAGAACATGCTGACTCATTACCTAAGACTACTTAAGATACTCAAAAGATATGCACTACATAGTAAGAATTGAGATGAATGAATATCAATTGATCAGGTGTCTTTGGACAAGAGGACAAGGGGGTCTCATAGGAGGAATAGGCAAGATGGACAAATAAAAATAGAGTCTCAAAACCAGAGGGATATGAAATGTTGTGAGCCCTGAATTTCAAGCACAATAGATTAACAAGTCATATTCCTGAAGTTTCTGTCTCAGCAGACTTCATGTGGGATTCTATAATGAATTTTAAAAGCAAACATACAACAAACCAAAATTAAAAATGTAAACATGTGAACCTATACAGGAAATTTTGATAGGTATCAGCTTTTAATCAGTATTAATATAATTTTAATTAATTGTATCTTTCAAAATAGCTATGTGAACTTTTAAGGATATTTACTTTTTAAATCCACTTTACAGATGAAGATATTTTTAAAGCATATTATTTGACATGTGAATAATTTCTTTCTCATTCTCTGAGGAATATAGTGTTGTTTTAGATTAGCATTTTCTTCTGTTTATTATGGATTTCCTCTTGGATGTTTAATAGCTATTTCAAATTTAGCACACTGAATCACAACTTACCTCCTTCTAGAATGCCAGCTATATCCACACATTCGCTAAATAAAAACAGTTCTCCATTTCCATTGCTACCATCTTATTCCAAGCTATCATTACCTTTTAATTGGATTATTCCAATAACCTCCTAATAGTCTCTTTGTTTCCATCCTTGAAGAATCTACGAAAATAATTTTTAAAATTTCACAGATCATCTAGAATTCTTTTAAAAGATAACCCATACCATGTCACACCTGTGTTGAAAATCTTCCAAAGCCTTCCCATATAAACATGATCAGCAAAATCACCTGGTCTTCCCTGCATGTTTTTCTGATCAATTCTGCTCTCTCATTTCTTTCACTTCGCTTCACTCACAATGGGCCCTCCTGCTCCTCAGGCACATCAAACATAGTGCTCTGTGTATGTAGTACCTTTCTGTCTCTAATGTAGGCCCCACCAGAATTCCAGTAGAATTTGCTCCCTCATTTTCTCTAGATCCTCAGTATTCCCTCATCAGGGAAGCTTTCTCTGAACTGCTTCTCCTTCCACTGGGATTCCCATCTTCACTCTATTTTTCTCCATAGCTCTTCTTCCTTCCTGAGATAGCATATAATTAAAATATATTTAATAAAATGTATCTATTGGTTATTTTCTTTTCCAAGTACTAAATGACATTGGAACAATGATGTGAGATTATTTTCATATCATTGAACAGTGTTTTACATATTCTGAGTATTGAGTCAACATTTGTTAAATTGATGTATTAGAAATCCATGCCCTCACATGTGAACAGGAAACTTTCCGAAATTTGTGATATACATTTGTGAGTTGTACCCACTTTGCTTCTGTGGTATGGAATGAAAAACAATTGATCTAGAGTGTAAGACTCCCTATAAATCTCTGAGAAATCATTTTTGTTTTCTGTAATCCAATAATGGCCAATGACAAACAATTACTTGAATATTTCCTCATTATTTCGTCCTGTTTCCAACCTCTTCCT